CCACCCATTTGCCCTGGATCACTCAGCATCGTCTGCTGTGTGGATGAGGCTGAGAATGCCTCGGGGGTGGGCAAGTCAGGCAGACCTGCCCACCCTCCTGGGCCTCCTGGGCCTCCTGGGCCTTGCCCAAGGGCTGACCCACATGGCAGGGCTGGAAGAAAAGCAGGGATGCCTTGAGGGGGGCAAGGAGGTCTTGGCCTTGACAGAGGCCATCTGGAGAAGCCTCTTTGCAAAGGATGTTTCAGCTTCGGCCTGAAGAGGGTAGAAGCAGGCCCTGAGCAAGGCAAGAGAGGGAGCCAAAAGCCTCCCTCGGGTGATGTGCCTCCCGGGCAGTCATTTAAGAATGGAGCACAGTGGTTCATTCTGGAAAGGCGCCCACACCCTCCTCTTGGTTCCAGCTCATTAGCAGTACAAGTAGCTGCTTTCTGGGCTCAGGATTCCACCCTGGGGTTGCCAGGGCCACTGACTGCCAACTCAGGCCCTTCCCAATTGGTCCCATGGTGTCACAGGACTCAGGGAATGACAATTGCCCTGGCACCCATTAGGTGGTCCTTCAAAAGAGTGGGCCATGGAGAACTGGCAGGCTTTCCACCTATGGACTTGCTCCAGCATTGAACTCACAAAAGGCCACTCTTCGGAGACCTTTCATTTCTTCTAACTGCCCCAGCACATGCCCCAGCATGGCAGGCAGGACAGAGTCTGGGTGTCAGTGATGGTGATGACCACCACCCTCCATCCCCTGCCGGCAGGCCTCTCAGCCCTTTTAGGATCAAGCCTCAGATGTCAGACACTGCCTCGCTTTGATTGGAGGAGGCCTGGCTGGCAGTCGCTGCATGATGGCCTAGATGATGTGACATGGGTGTGACAGTGGGAGAAGAGCAGGCCCAGCAGAGCCCCTGGCTCCAGACCATACCCCTTACCATTCTCTATCATCCTGGACATCGGGGTGGGTCCCTGCTGGAGACTAGCAGGACACTGGAGGACATCAAGTCCTTTTCCTTCCCAGAGGGAGTCCAGGGAGCTCCCAGGGGGGCCCAAAACACCTTCCCCCAGCCAGGCCACATCTCTGCAGTGAGCATGGACCTCCAGCTGGGGCCTGCACAGGACCACCCCTCTCTGGGCTGGCCTAGGGCGGACCATGTGAGCTGGGCTGGGCCAGGATGGAGCTGGGCTCCTGGAGAACTGTACCTGAAAGTTAGATGTGACCCTGGCCCCTGAGGAGGCATGGCTGGAGTGGCAATAAGCATCACCACCCCAGGTTGGTATAGGGAAGAGCGCCCCCAGCTGACTGGGATCAGCAGTAGTGGCACAAGCCCAGGGGAATGGGAGCACCCCAGTAGGTGGCATTCCAGCAGGGGGAGCTGGTTGGGACAGTTGGGGGTGGGGGGAGGTGTGCAGGGATTGGTCAGAGGCCACAAGACCAGCTCCAGGTTGTCCCTAGAGCGCCTCCCCGCCTCACAGCTGCAGACTGATACTTCCGATGGATCGGATCTCATTTCACCTCTCTGAGCCTTGGGCTCCTCGTGGCCATTTCCCAGGCGAACACAGTCAGGGTTCTGCCAGAGAAAGTGGACCTGGGGAGACCTCGGCACACACCTCCTTTTATTGCACTACTGCACAGGTGTTGCGGGTGTGTGTGTTTACAAACTGAAGACAGCACCTTGCACTAGCAAAGACTATGGCTCACTCTATTGCTGAGGTCTGCAACCTAACCTGCATTAGCTCCAAGGGGTGTGTGTGTGTGTGTGTGTGTGTGTGTGTGTTGTGGGGGTGGGCTGGGCAGGTCACTACAGTCCACGGGGGAGTTTCTTCTTTCTCAGGGAAATCTCCACGTTGCCCTCAAGGCCTTTCAACGGATTGGATTGATACCCACCCGGAGCATCAGGGAGAAACTCCCTTAAAGTCAACCAGCTGTAGCTGTAAATCACATCTATAAACACCTCCACAGCAACACCTGGATTTGTGTTTGGTTGTGTCACTGGGGACTGTCATGCAGCCACCTTGATTCAGAAAACCGACCATCAGTGGGGTGGCCCTGGTGATTGCTCATAGCCTCTGTGAGGAAGAAGTGGGACCCTGTGAAGGGAGTGGGACCCTGTGAGGGGGAGCGAGACCCTGTGAGGGGGAGTGGGACCCTGTGAGGGGAGTGGGACCCTGTGAGGGGGAGTGGGACCCTGTGAGGGGGAGTGGGGCCCTGTGAGGGGGAGTGGGACCCTGTGAGGGGGAGTGGGACCCTGTGAGGGGGAGTGGGACCCTGTGAGGGGAGTGGGGCCCTGTGAGGGGGAGTGGGACCCTGTGAGGGGAGTGGGACCCTGTGAGGGGAGTGGGACCCTGTGAGGGGGAGTGGGACCCTGTGAGGGGAGTGGGACCCTGTGAGGGGAGTGGGACCCTGTGAGGGGGAGTGGGACCCTGTGAGGGGAATGGGACCCTGTGAGGGGGAGTGGGACCCTGTGAGGGGGAGTGGGACCCTGTGAGGGGGAGTGGGACCCTGTGAGGGGAGTGGGACCCTGTGAGGGGAGTGGGACCCTGTGAGGAAGAAGTGGGACAGTGTGAGGGGAGTGGGACCCTGTGAGGGGGAGTGGGACCCTGTGAGGGGGAGTGGGACCCTGTGAGGGGAGTGGGACCCTGTGAGGGGGAGTGGGACCCTGTGAGGGGGAATGGGACCCTGTGAAGGGAATGGGACCCTGTGAGGGGAGTGGGACCCTGTGAGGGGAGTGGGACCCTGTGAGGAAGAAGTGGGACAGTGTGAGGGGAGTGGGACCCTGTGAGGGGGAGTGAGACCCTGTGAGGGGAGTGGGACCCTGTGAGGGGAGTGGGACCCTGTGAGGGGGAGTGGGACCCTGTGAAGGGAGTGGGACCCTGTGAGGGGAGTGGGACCCTGTGAGGGGAGTGGGACCCTGTGAGGAAGAAGTGGGACAGTGTGAGGGGAGTGGGACCCTGTGAGGAAGAAGTGGGACCCTGTGAGGGGAGTGGGACCCTGTGAGGAAGAAGTGGGACAGTGTGAGGGGAGTGGGACCCTGTGAGGGGGAGTGAGACCCTGTGAGGGGCAGTGGACGGCATGTAAAGTCCTCAGGCCACATTTTGGCTTGAAAACATGAGTCAGGGTGAGGCAGCTCCAGAGTTCCTTTGCTTGTCTGGATCATGCAGGTAGAGAGATGGGGAGGGTGAGGGGAGCGTTTGGGGTGATAAGAAGAGTTTTAGAGGAGGTGGCAGCGCAAGTTTGGGGCCTGCTTGTCTGCAGGGGGTGGAGGCTTCCCCAGGGAGCCCTGGGGTCTGGGGGGCACCTGTGGATTCTGGGACCTGCAAGGCAGGCACTTCCAGAGGCACAGTGTGCCATGTGGCCCCCCAGTCTTCATGCCCAAGGGGCTACCAAAAAATGCTCAGCCTAGCCTCACCCCCCCGAAGGCCTGGCCAGGGCGCAGCAGTGGAAAATTGTAGGAGCAAGGATTTCTACCGCACTTCCTCATTCTTCTTAGGTTGTTGCCGTGAGTGCTCACTCTGGCACGTGGCTTGTAGATGAACAGTGTGTTTTTGTAAGAGCCCTAGGCACCTGCTTCAAAGGAGACTGACTCCGACCTGCAGGCACTCCCAGCTCCAGGAGATGTGCTGACCTTCAGCCGAGGGTCAGGATGATGTGAGGCGAGGATGATGTGAAGCCAGGATGCTGGGCACCGGACCGTCACTTATCTTATGGAATGGACTGGGCTAGTCTGCATGTAGGGACCTTTGCAAGCCCCTCCCTTGGTCTCTTTGTTCTGTTCCCCCCTCCCTCCTTATAAAAACCTCTGCCTCCAGTGACATGTGGAGATGGGCTAAGAGGTGCGAGTCCCCCATCTTCCCAGGAGATGGGCGTTCAGACAAGTGCCCCATCCTCCCAGGGGCTGGTACCTGAAAATAAACCACTTTCCTTTACGTCACAGCACCTGCCTCTTGAGTGTTGACTTTCATAGCAGCAGGCGACCAGACCCGATTTCGGTTACAAGGGCCAGGTGGAGAGCTTTCGGGGCTCTGGAAATTCCCACCTGGTCAGTATGGCCTCGGCAGGGGCCACCGCTGCAGGAGTGGAACCTTTGGCTCTGGGGGTGCTTTTCCCCGGATTCTCTACTGTGGCAGCCAGGTGCCTGGGAAGAAGCCGAAAGCTGTCCTTACATGGCTAAGCCTACGACTCAGGTGGAGAACTTTCACCTAGTTTTGGCATTTTCTAAAAGACTCAAATCTGTGTCACATACACATTAAATACACTGAACAGACGGGCCTCTTCCTCGCCTAGGAATAGGCGCCCACCCCCCAGGTTGAGTGAGGACGAGCCCAGGAACAGTGGGCGGGTTGTGATTTAAATGCTCAGGAACTGTTGGACATTAGTAATATCCAGTGCTGCTTCACAACTGACATGGAGCCCACCCCTGGACTGGGTGCTTTCTGAATGTTACTTCAGTTTCTTGTGAACAGATAGGCTTCTGAAACCCAGGAGCTGCGGAGAGGTGCGAGGAGCAGGCAGGGGGAGCGCCCCTCAGCTCTAAAGCGGCCTGGAAAACCGTGTTCCTATTTTACAGCGAAACTGCCCGTGGCTTCAACCAGCTCCTCAGAGAAGCAAGCACTCCTGGTTTAGTTGGACATTCAGTTAGAATTATTTCAGCGCCGTTTTGGTTTAAGAGAGTGCATCTTCACAGGTAAGTAATCTACATCCTGACCTTTGATAAAGCATCCTTCCCTCAGTTTCATAATGTACTTTGCAAAAAATGTCCCTGAAATCATTTCCTGTGTTGGGCGAGGTGTGAACAATGACAGGCCCCAGCAGGCACTGTCGTCGCCTCAGGGCGTCGAGGTGCCACAGTTGGCAGGGGAGAGGGCGAGAGGTCAGGCTCAGGGGATTCCCCCATGGCGGTGGCCATGGCATCTTCCAACCTGGGTGCCTGCGGCGCCTTTAAGGTCCGCCGGGGGCGTGCTGTCACTCGGCGGGGGACGGGAGACCGGGTTGGGCGTCGGACTCCCGTGCGCCCCGAGGATCTGGCGGGCCGCCCCCGCGTGCCCCTCCCGTGGGCCACGCCCCGCACACGCTACATGGGCCCGGACTCGGACCGGGGCGGGCGCGGCGCCGCAGCCCGGGCCATGGGCAGCTTCCAGCTGGAAGACTTCGCGGCTGGCTGGATAGGAGGTGAGCTCACCCTGGATGAGCGGGACCCCCAGAGGTGGGTGGGTTTTAGGGAGACCGGGGGTCGGGGAGACGGAGAGGCGGGCCAGGCGCCGGGTGGGCCGAGTTTACACCCCGGCTCGGGACGGGGCACTCGGCGCCGGCACGTCCCGGCCGCGCCACGCGCGCCTCCGGCTGCGGGGAGAGCCCGCGGCCCGGCGCTTGGGGTCTCGCGGGTCCCCGCCGGCTGCCGGCGAGAGCTCCGGATTTACCTCCAAGTGAGGGTGTACGGAGCTCGGTCGGGTAATGATTAAGCCGCTAGTCCGAGCCTGCAGCCAATGGAGCGTCCCAGCGCGTACACACCCTTCGGTTACCGGGTGCGCACTTTAATTTGGGGACGTGGCTCGTGGCTCCAAGAAACTTGTAGGTGAGGGTGGCGCTTGGTCACTGGCCCCAGGAGCGGGATGGGGAGCCCGACTTCGTGATCAGACTGGTCTTAGAGGGCTTAGAGGGCTTGGGGGAGCAGGTAGGAGGCACCCTTCCCGTCTTCGGCCGCTGCCAGCCGCTCGGTACCCTGCTGCCCACACTGTGGTCCCTTTGTACCGCCCCGGCAGCGGCTCTTTCTCTCTCTGCTCGGCCTGAGATGGGGTGGCATGGTGAGGAGTTTCATCCATTTCCTTCTCCATTCTTTTCTTTTGGAGAGGTCTATGCCTCCTCTTCTCAGATGTAGGTGGGGCATGGGGGAGGGCCAGTGGTACTCCACTTACTGTAAAATATTGTCTTTCTTTTGGCCCCATCTAAGAGGGCCATCAGCAAAGGGATGTTGGCAAATGCAGCTCCTCCCTGAAGACCAGATAAAATAGTACTGAGGTGCTGAGGCAGAGGCTATTGGTGGGGGGGGGGGGTGCAGGACAGGTCAGTTAGCATGCGGGTCCTTCCCCTCTGGCATCCCCTCCCAGCTGGCAGCTGTGTGCTTCTGTCCCCTGCAGATGGCTGCAGGGCACCTGCTTCCCCCGTCCTGAGCAGGGTCTGTTCCTTTCGTGGTGGGCAAGTCTGTTGACACGGCCTCTTTTGAGTTGGGCTGAGACCCCCCCCTAATTTTCCCACTCAGGGGGGCTACACCTGGAGACCCACCGTGCACACCCAGACCCTCTTTGGACACCCTTCAGCCATTCTGAGGGAAAGTGTTCTCTCAGCCACTTCCTTACATAGCCAGGCGACGTCAGCAGGGCTGTAGGGGGCTGGGTTTAGGAGACCCCCGAGTCCCCTCTGGCATGGAGACCCTCCCTTGTGCAACGGCGCGTAGTGGGCTGCCCTTTATCCTGGAACCGCCTGTGCTTTGGGGAAGTGAATATTTCTTTCTGCTTCCATGAAAGGCTGGTGAGTATAGCAACGGTGAGTGCACAGGGGGTGCCAGGTGAGCACTTCGTGCATGTTTTAAAAGTAACTCTGGTAAGGTTATTTTACACATGGTGAAATCCATCCATGTCCAGTATACAATTCTGTGATATTGTTAGTAACTTTACCAAGTTGCAAAACCATTACCCTAAACTTTCGCTTCCCAGCCTTTTGGCTGAGATCAGGTGCACTGTCTGTTCTTAGCAGTCCCCTTGCCCCAAACTAGTTTTGGGCCGTCATCGTCCCCGCAGGAAGGTCCTCGTTCATCCCTTGTTAAGTAAGATCCTTGTGCCCATGGCAGTTAAACTCCTTCCCTCCTTCTCCCTCCCGGCAACCACCACCCTCCACACCGCGGCTCTGCAAGTGAGCCTTTTCTGGACGTTTGATGTAAATGGAACCGTAAAACATGGGGTCTCTCGTGTCTGTTTATTTATTTCTTCACAATTCCAGTGAGGTAGCTACTATGATTGCGTCCCCACTTTACAGGTGAGGAAGTGGGCGTGCAGGGAAAGTCCCTGGCTGGCCCGAGGCCCCAGGTGCAGTGTGAGCCCAGGTCATCCGACCCGGGCAGCCTGGCTCCCGGGACACCCAGACCCCTGTTCTCGGCTATACTGTTTTCTTTCTTTTCCCTTAAAAAAAAAGATTTTATTTATTTATCTCTAGAGAGAGGGGAAGGGAGGGAGAAAGAGAGGGAGAGAAACATCAACCAGTTGCCTCTTGTAAGCACCCCGACTGGGGACTGAACCTGCAACCCAGGCATGTGCCCCGACTGGGTATGGAACCGGTGACCTTTCGCTTTGCGGGACGGTGCCCAACCAACTGAGCTACAATAGTCAGGGCTAGCTGTTTTCTCTCTTAATGACCTTGCATGATAATATTTTGCCACGATATCCTACACGTTTTGTTTGAAATTTCACTGGCCTGTGAAGTCCCAAGGGCTGGAAACCATTGATGTGATGGTCTGATTTCTCATATCTCATCCCTGCTTTCCGGTGGGTGGGCTACAGGGGCAGGGAGATGCTGGCCCAAGGCTGGACCCAGGGGGCTTCCCTGGGCTGAGGGATGCCCATAGTGAGGGATGCACTCACCGGGGTAGGGAGACCAGCTGGAGCCTTAGGACCAGACCCCTTTGTTCCCCTGATGGGAGGGGTTCAAGTGGCGTGCATACACCAGCTCCCCGCTGCCCACCACCGTCTGCCTCTGCCCAGTTCTGTGGGAGGGAGAGGCTGAGCGGGCTCTGAAGGTTTCCAGACCCAGGAAACGTTTGCTCTGGGATCAGCTGGTTTCTCTTCCCCTGTAAATATCTAAGGCTTCAGGACCCCTTCCCTGCCTTACCTGGTGAGCAGAGACACTTTGTTCCTCATCACCATGATGGGGAATTTGTCTTAGAAGGATGGCCCCTGCTCCAACCTCGAAGTCACTGACTTCTGCAGCCAGGGCTGCTTCCTCAGGGCCCCAGGGTGGCCTTCTCAGCTCCAGAATGGTTCAGGTCTCGTGAACCTGTGCAGACAGGCATGGTGTTGTGGAAAGACCCAGAGTATTCATCACCTTTTCAAAGAGGTCTTCTTTAAAAACAAACAAACAAACCAAAAAAACCCAGCAGCCCTGGTTCGTGAGGCTGAGTGGATTGGGCACCGGCGTGAGAACTGAAAGGCTGCTGGTTCGATTCCCAGTCAGGGCACATGCCTGGGTTGTGGGCCAGGTCCCCAGTTGGGGGTGTTCAAGAGGCAATGAATCCACATATCTCTCACACATTGATGTTTCTCTCCCTCTCTTTCTCCCTCCCTTCCCCTCTCCAAAAGTAAATAAATAAATAAAATCAATAGCAATAGCATCTCTTTTTGAATGTCCATGAAATGCCAGGCTCCCTCCTGGTACCTGGCATTCAGTTCCTCACTTTACTGTTACCCTCAGGTGGGTGCTGACATTATTCTCACCTACACATGCTAACCGTGAGGTGTAGGAAAGTGAAGTAACCTGCAGGCAACTGAAACGTTTCCGGGTCTTCTCCTCACACCCTCCCTGGTTTTTGAGGCGAGATTTACATAACACAGAACTAACCATTTTGAAGTGCAGGTCAGTGACATCTGGTGTGTTGCCAGAGTGTGCAACCCTCGCCTCTGTCTAGTGGCAAAGCGTTGTCCTCGTGCTCAGAGCAGTCCCTGGCCCGTGCAGGGCTCCACAGCCCCTCCCCACACCCTGGCGGTCGCTCGCCTGCTTCCTGTCCCCAAGGGTTTCCGGTTCTGGGTAAGTCATGCACATGGAATCGCACCGTAGGAGACCTTCAGGGCCTGGCCTTCCTCATTCTCACAGTGTTCCCAACATTCATCCCGCATCAGCCGGTCACTGCTGTTTCTGTCTGACAATACTCCGCTTCACTCACCCCTGAGTCCAGTGACGCACCGTTGGGCTGTCCCCACCGCCTGGCCATCAAGGCCAGTGCTGCTGTGCACACGCGTGTACGTGAACTAGTTTGAGTGCCTCTTTTCCCTTCTTTTTAGTATTTGCCCAGGAGTGGAATTCCTGGGTCGTATGGTGATTCAAGACTCACCTTTTTGAGGAGCTGCCAAACGGTTTTCCCCAGTGGCTGTCCCAGTTCATATTCCCACCAGCAAGGTCTGAGGGTGTGAATGTCTCCAAATCCTCTCCAACACCTACCTATTCCCCTCTGTTTGTGATTTACGTTACAGCTGTTCTAGGGTGTGAGGGGAATCTCATTGTGTTGTGATTGGCATGTCCCTCATGACTGACGATGGTGAGCATCTTCTCTTGTACTCATTGGCCCATGTGCATGCCTTCTTTGGAGAAATGTCTGTTCAAGTTCCTTTACCCATATTTAAAAAAAAGTTTCTTAGGTGTAAGAGTTTATATTTTCTGGATGCTAGGTTTTTACCAAATGTATGATATGCAAGTACTTCCCCCCATTCTGTAGGTCAGATTCACATTCTTGATAGAGTCTTTTGGTGCATAAAAGTTTAAAATCTTTGTGATGTTCAATTCGTCTATTTTGTATTTGCTACTTGTGCTTTTGGTCTCATATCCAAGAATCTATAGAAAATCTTGGTCATGAAGATTTTCCCGTGTTTTACTATATGATTTTTATAGTTTTAGTATTTCTATGTAGGTCTTTGTTCTACTTGGAACTAACTGTTTTATAAGGCATGGGATGAGGGGGTGCGGGTTTCTAACTTCACTCCTTTGCAGCCAAACGGTTGTCCCAGCACCTTCACCGCCCTTTTTGGGGGGCGGGAGGTGCTTGTTTCTTGACACAGAGCTGGGTTTTACTCCATTTTCTCTGCCGTCCTCCTTGCTGGGGCCAGTGCCAGGCATGTGGCGAGTCCTCTCTGGTGCCTGGGCTTTGCCCAAATAGGCTCATGCAGGAGCCTGGCCCCCTATCCTGTGCCCAAGAGCCAGCGAGTGCAAGCGAGGAGTCCAGGGGCCAAATGACCAGTTACTCTTTTTCAACCCACAGGCGCAGCCAGTGTCATTGTCGGCCACCCTCTGGACACGGTCAAGGTACGGTAGCCATGTTTGTCATTTCCTCTTGCCACATGGCCTGGTCTGAGTCCGCCTGCAGGACTGGGCCTGCCCTGTCTGCACCCCGGAGAGTCCCCAGCCCAGGTCCCCTGGGCCAGCCCGTGGGCGCGCGGTGCTGGGGCCTGGTTTGGAATGGCTCTGCCGCCTTACTTGGCAGTGATTTTGTTTTGGTGGATGTCTCTGCCTCTGGGTGCTCATGAACTAGGGGGGATGGGGGCACTGGTGAGGGTCCTGCAGGCCCCTGTGGAGCTAAGGAGCCAGGTACGGCTTCAAATGAGCCCAAAATTGAAGGCTGGGTTTTTGGGTGATTCAAAAGGACATTTGAGGCACAGACAACACCTTGGACAAAGGCACTGAGATGGGGCCACTCCGTGGGGCCTCTGTGGAGAGGCCTGCGTGCAGTGCGCCAGCACACCTTCTGGCCGCAGCCTTGAGTCCAAATCCAGGAGGGGGATGTCGGCACCCAGTGCTCAGAGCCCTTGGGTGTCAGGTCAGGACTCTGGACCCGGGTCGGGAACGGGGAGCCTCTGCCAGTCAAGGAAGCTCCCAGGTGTGAGGACTGAAGCCAGCAGGGCCACCTGGCATCTGCAGATGGAGAAGGCGGCTCAGAATGGGGAAGGGGCTTGCTCAGGTCACATGACAAGTGAAAGCATCAAGGAGTGAGACGCTACAAAGGGGCACTCTCTGGCTTCACTCCGCCCCTGCCACCAGTCCCCGCGGTGAGCAGGACGCAGAGCCGTCCTGCTCTGCGTCTGAGAGTGTGGCCCCCTGTGGTGACACCCAGGTCCGAGTCTAGGGCTCTGCCTGGCCCACGCACAGAGCAGCCTCCCAGGCCCTTCTCCCACGGCTGCTGCCGTCTCCTCTCTCCCCTTCCTGCCCCCTGCACGGCAGTGGCCCTGCCCGGGTCACAGCCAGGTCTGCTCTCTGTGTGATGGGGAGGTCAGCCTACTTGTCTTAAATACTTAGAGATATTTCCTGGCTCCTCCAGTCCCTCCTATGGGCCCTGCCTTTTGCTTACACATCAACCGCTTATTGAACACTTTGTGGGGGCGCGGTCAGGACGGTAAGGCATCAGTGGTGGACCGAGCAGGTGCCATCCCTGTGCTGCAGGCCTTACAGCCACACTCCTAATGCCAGTGAGCTGCCGCCACCTCCTTGCACAGGCAAGCGTGACCTCCCTGGGCCTGGCCACATGTCACCCGAAAACGCTCTCCTCCTTATCTCCCCTCAGTCCCTGAGCCTCTGGAGGGAACCCTTGCTGACACATAAAACCTGGTCTCTGCTCAGCCTGGCAGCCTCCCTGCTGAGGGCACAGCCTGGGATGCCAGCCTGCACGGATGCCCCCTCTGGGGCCAGCCCTTGTGGGCCCAGGCCCTTGTGTCTCCCCAGAACGTCCTCCTAGCTTCCTTCATCTGCTGACGTTTTGTCTAGAGCCCCCTGTCCACTGAGAAAGGTCCAGACAAGAGCGTCAGATAACCTGGAGCCCGCTTGCTGTCCTGCGGCTGGGACACAGCACCCAACCTCCCTGAGCCTGCGGGTCCGTGAAACGGGCAAAGAGCCCCTCCCCAGTGGGGCTGCCGTGAGGATGCTCGCCGTGACTTTGAGGGCAGGGCACTGATGCACCACTCTCGCCCTGATGCACACGCACGCTGGGGCGTGTCTGAGGCCAAGCTAGAAGGACCTGCCCGAGCTCCTGAGTTGGGTCAGAGTTTCCTTCCCCTGCCAGCAGCGGCCTCGTCACAGGTGGGAGAGCAGCTCCCGGCCTCGAGGTGACAGTGGGGCTGCAGTCAGGGCTCCTGCCTGGCCTGACGCGCTGTGACCAGGGTTTCCAGTCTGGGCCTGCCTGCCTTTCGACCAGCTAACCAGGTAGGAGAGAAGAGATGTGCATTGTTTTAAGCCACTAAGTCATTTATTACAGGCAATTAGACGACAATTAGTTGCGCCAGACAGTGAATACAGGGAGGCAGCTTCCTTCCTCTGTGAAGCGGGGATAGTATCCATGCCACATGGCGTTTCTGGGATTCAGTGAGATGGGTTCTGTGAGGCGCCCAGGGATTCCCCAGGCATTCAGCGGGTGCACATTAAATGCCAGCTCCGGCTGGAATCGGAAATTCCAGGGGCTCGAGCTGCGCTGCTGGCCTTGGTGGGTGGCAGCCTCCCACGCGCTCCGCACGGCTGGCAGACCTTTGCTCTGTGGCCATGATCTGGGTTTCGCTCTTTGCTTGAGTGACTTGACCACTCAGCCTTCTTAGTGGGGACTTGACCCTCCTGCGGCTCAACCGTTCTGTGGACTCACCCCTCAGGGCCGGCGGGAAGAGCGGTCAGCTGTGGTCAGCTGCGGGCCAGCCCTAAATGGGGCAGAGAGTGGCCTGCTCCCCCACCTGCCCTGGCCCGTGTCCATGACCTGGCTGGGGACACCCCAGCCCAAGGGGGGCCTCTGTGGTTCTGCTTAACCAGAGGACGTGAAGGCCCAATTCCCACCCGGCAGCCCCTCCCAGCGCCTCGTCCCCACCACCCAGCCCTCCGAGCCCCAGTCTGTTTCCCGCACGGCACTTGTCCTCTGGCACATCCGTTCACCTGGGGATTACTTTCTACTGGCTGTGCTTTCCAGCCCCACTCGGTATAAGTCCCATGAGGGCGGGAGTTCGTTTTCTCCGCTGTTCCCTTCCCCGAGATCGGGCCGGTGCCGGCTATAAAATAGGACTCAGCAAGTATTGGTGGAGTGAGTCAATAAGTACATTTCTCTGACTATGAAAGTAACATTTATGAACAGCGTCACACCATCGATGGATCATAGTGATGGGAGGGCTGCGTGTCTCCTCCGGCCGCCTGTCCTTGGAGAGCTGTTCCGGTGGAGGCCGGTCCGACGCAGCCGGGCCATCCGCCGGGCCCACTCGCTGCGGGGAGGGGGGGGCGGGCTGAGTCAGAGGGGTGGGCCTGGGCAGACTTCAGCTTTGTATGTAGCGTCGGAAATTTTTTATTAAGAGAATGTAGTCCCATATAAGTTTTGGACTTAGAATTATTTTGTAATTACATTAGCTGGAAATAACCAAAGTAACCCCTGCTCATCGTAGGAAAGTTGGGAAATGAAGCGAAGTTCAGCGCAGCAAAGCAGGACCCATGGTCTTCACCTCAGAGACGGTCATTTTCAGGGCTCTGCTCTGCCAGCGCCTCTGTTGCTGGCCCAGGGATCGGGCTCAGGCTGTTACTGTGAAGCGTTAGTGGCACCAGGGCCTTCGCTCCTCTTGGAACTCTGGGTTCGGGGCGGGGGGCAGGGTCCAGATCTCCTCCCCTATGGTTCTCACGGTTCCTTCCTCCCGGGCACAGCACGTTTGGGTGCTAAGGAAGTGTTTTGAGGGAGAATTATCCTCAGAGAAGTAGAACTCTCCAGGGCCAGGGTAGAGGGCACCCGGGCACTTTTGTGGGCTTACTCAGACCCTCTGTGCCCTCACGGTGCCCCTGGCCACCACAGCCAGCCTCCCTGCAGGACACTGCACCTTCACCATCCCTACAGTACCAAGGGGCCAGGTGAGCACCCCACGTGGCTCCAGGCACAAGAGGGAAGCAGGAAATGGCCCTGCTCCCCTTGGAGGGGTACCCAGGGAAACCCGGAGCAAACAGGCAAACGCGACGCCATCGCGACATTTGAGCTCAGGCCCAAAAGATGAGCAGGTCCTGGGGGAACAGCCTCTGGGAGAAAGAGCAGCGGTGGACAGTTCTGGGAGTGGGAGAGAACCAGTGCTCCGGGGAATGTGCTGTGTGTGTGTGTGTGTGTGTAGGGGGTGCGGGTCATGGAGGTAAGGGGTGGGGGAGATGGCCCAGGGGGCTGAGAGGCAGGTGTGGACGCTCACGCAGGGCCTCCTGGGAGCTGGTGGAGGGTGTACAGTGTATTCTGAGTTGGTAGGAGCGCTGAGTTGCACTGCAACGTTTCGCACAGCGGTGACACGGCTCCTCAGACCGTCATGAGTCAGTCTGTGTCAGGGAGTGGGGAGAAGCAGGAGGCATGGAGGAGGCCAGGCCGCCACCCAGGTGCGCCGTGAAGGGGCTCTGCAGGGGAGACGAGCAGGTCGCCCCGGGGAGGGTTTAGGAAGGCAGAGCCACAGGCAAGATGGGGCAGAGCCACGCCACCAGCCAGCTTTTTGTTCGCGAGAGGCAGGGATCAGACCTTCCCAGGCAAGCATCGTTTTTGCTCAACAAACTGACCTTTGTTCTTCTCTGGGACCAAGAGGGCTCCCGCTGCATTTAGGAAGGTCTGAATGAGAGGCTGGGGGACATGGTGCAGGTAGGGGAGAGAGGGTCAGCCTGTCCAGGACTGAAGCCCAGACCTCCCTCCTGCCTGGGTCGCTTTGGGCAGGGCCTGCCCTGCTCCGAACCTCAGTGCTGGATGCTCCACACCCTGGGGGCAGTGGGGATGTGAATCACCTCTGGGTCTCACACCCTTGCCTCTCTCTGCAGACTCGCCTGCAGGCCGGCGTGGGCTACGGGAACACCCTCAGCTGCATCCGCACGGTGTACAGGAAGGAGAGCGTAAGTGCCCCTCGGGCGGGCAGCTGGAGCTTTACCCACCAAGGCCTCCCACAAAATGGGGCAAAGCCCACCCGGGCCGGGGACCTCGGCCACGGCCCTCCCGCAGGCACGTGAGTGGGAGGCTGGTTTGTCCCCGCCATCGTGCTCGGCTCAATTCCCCTGCTCACCCGCCGCATGCCCCAGACAGCGTGCGTGCCCCAGACGGCGTGCGTGCCCCAGACGGCGTGCGTGCCCCACACAGCGTGCGTGACCTGAGCCAACCCCGCCCCCAGTGCCACGTTGTTGGAGAAAGAAACCGGTTTTGTGTAGCCTCTCTGCAGAAATTCTGAGGAATTTAGAGCCACAGTGGAAAATTACTGCAAAAAAAACAGGGTGCCTTGTCAAGTTTTTCAAAACCAATTGAGTGGCCAGGACTGTGTGCCCACAGGCATCCCTTCAGCCTGGCGTGGCCTGGACCGGGCGCCCCGGTGCCTACAGCTGGCTGGTGCCACAGGTCACTGAAGACAGTGGGACCCAAGGCTTTTCTTTGAAAAGGGGAAACCTGAGTAATATTTTATAGAAGACGCACCTGGGGCCCTTCCTGAGAGCTGCCGTATGCTTTAGGGAGACCTCCCAAGGCCCCTTTTTGGGGAAGTTTAAACAAACTTTAAAATTTAGGATGACAGGACCTGTTGATTTAAAGCGATGATCAGGCACCAGCCCCAAGGCAGCCCCCAGGAACTTGGGCTTGAGTCCTGGAAACGTGGCCCCACTGTGGACCTGGAGCTCGGGAACCTCCTGCCAGCCCCTGCAGTGTCCCCGCAGACTCAGCCTGTCTGGTGTCGGGGTGTCGTTCTAACTGGGATCCACTGCTTTAAACTCGGGCAAGTCTACCCACCTGCACTCGCTCTTCCGGCTCATGTGTGCTTGCTCAGTGCCCCGGAAAGCGGCTGTTGATTCTCCCTTGTTGCCACCTGTCCCTCACAGTGTCTGCCAACCAGTGTCCCAGCTCTGGGGCTCTGGTGGCCACCGTGGGCGTTCGTCTGAGAATCAGTAGCTCAGGGCTCTGCGATGTCCCAGGTTACCAGGGGAAGAGGCTGAAGCAGGTGTGTGTGTGTGTGTGTGTGTGTGTGTGTGCACGCACATCTGCTGCATGTGTGTGTAGCCACAAGCCCACGTGAGCTGCCCTGTGTCTGGCAGTTTAGGGTTGGCCAGTTTGCATCTAGCCTGGGGTTTGTGCGGCAGCTTCTGGCGCCTTTTCGCCTTTGGCAAGGGGCTCCTGGGCACTGCCCTGACTCCTCCATGGGCTGGTGGAATTTTCCGGTGTCCGCAATGCCTGTGTGGTGTCCACTGGGAATGCAGCAGACCCTGACCTCAGCCTCAGCGCCCTCTCCCCGGCCTCTTGTGCCCTGGGTGTGTGCAGAAGCCTGCAGGCGCTGTGTGTCCAGGGCATCCGCCCTTGAGTTATTCTTCCAAGAGACACTCGTGCTTGGGGCACCCCTGGGCGGCGCTGTGGGACCCTCTTCTTAGCCCCTCACCACAAGCTTGGCACATTATATATATTTTTAAAATTGTTATTGATTTCTTTTGAGGGACAGAGAGAGAGAGAGAAACATTGATTTGTTGTTCCACTTGTTTATGCAGTCATTTTAGGTCCCCTGACCGAGGATCAGACCCACAACCTTGGTTTATTGGGACTGTGCTCTAGCCAGCTGAGCTCTCCTGAGGGGCTCTTAGCACATTGTACTTTAATTTGTCCATCCAGGTTCACCACCCACCCCAGCCCCCAGACTGTGAACTTGGTGGAGGCTCTTCTTCCTTCCTGTTGTCCCCCAGGGCCTGGCGCGTGGCGAGTGCCCGGAGAATGTGTTTGTTGGAGTGGCCAGCAAGGAGGGTGTGTGTGATGCTTGGCAAGCTTGCCACCCTCCCCCCAGAGCTCCCCAGGCCCCTCCCCCAGCCACAGTCCGGGGGCACTGCCACTCCCATGACAAAAATGCTCCAGGCCCAGGACACCACCACTAGTCCAACAAGACTTCCCAGAAGCCAGCTCCTCCTCAGGGCAGGGAAGTCCCCATCCGCCCCCGTCTCTCCTTTCACAGCAGCACCGTTCTGTCCTCTTTGGTTTATTTTTGTGCTATCTCCCCCGAGCCCGCAGGACCCAGCCCACGGGAGGGCAGGGTCTGTGCCCGGGACTGCGAGGGGGCCTTGGCCCCGGCCTGCAGTTCTCACGCTCCCTCCCCCGGGTTTCCCCACAGGTGTTCGGCTTCTTCAAGGGCATGTCCTTCCCCCTGGCCAGCATCGCCGTCTACAATTCGGTGGTGTTTGGGGTCTTCAGTAACACGCAGAGGTTCCTCAGCCAGCACCAGAGCAGGGAGCTGGAGGCCGGCCCACCCCACACCCTGTCAAGCCTGCTCCTGGCCAGCGTGGTGGCCGGTGTGGTGTCCGTCGGACTGGGCACGCCCGTGGACCTCATCAAGATCCGCCTGCAGATGCAAACACAGCCGTTTCGGGAAAGTAAGAGGCCGGGAGGGGCCTGGTGTCTGGGCGCCTGTGACCCTCTCCCAGTTCGCCAGATGGGGGGTGTGGTTGGCAACATCCTTCTCATTGAGCAGGTCCCAGAGCGACTGCTACTTTATCTAGAGTAGTAATCTCAGAGGTCAGTGTTGACTACATGCCCGGCACCTGCCGAGGCCTCTGCTTGTGCTCTTTCCCTTCGTTTTCAGGGCCGTTCTGTTACGGACGGTTCGTTCTGTTATGAGGCAGGTGCTGTTGCTCTTCCCATTTACAGGGCAGAAAACTGAGGCTCCCAGAGGCTGAGACATTCGGTGAATGACTGGTGAGGGAGGACTGGCTGTGTAATTTGCGGCGCCCAGTGAAAAATGAGAATGTGGGATTCTTCTTAAAAAATTATTAAGAATTTTAAAAGGGTAGAACATTAAGCCAGGTGTGGGGACGCAGGTCTCAAAGCCGCACCTGTCCCGGGCACCTGCAGGGGCTGCGGGGTGTGGAGGGGCGCTCCGCCCCTGGCCCTTGCCGCTCCGATTAAAGCTTCGTGTCTGGGTCCTCGGGGTGCTCTGCGGCCAGTCCTGCACCATAGCCGGCCCCATCGCCTCCTCCTTGCTGGGAAAGAGGCCGCTGTGTCTTCTCCTGGGTTGGGGAGGGGCTCCGATGAGGCGAAGAGGCACCTCCCAGGCCTCAGTTTCCTTTCCAGTATAACGGAAGGGCTGGATCCATGATTCTCCCTGTCACCTCAGGTAGCCGATCGGGGCTGACCGTTCAGGTGGATAAGACGCCTCCCCTAGCCAGCCTTGTGTGTGTGACCCCAGTGTCTACAGAGGCGGGGCTCCGCTGCACCCACAGGTGGAGCTCTGAGGGTTTGCTCGGGACCACCCCGGCCCAGTACTTCTCCGGCCGCAGCCCAGATGCCTTGATTCAGTCCAGGATGGGCCTGCGCGCCTCTGAGCATGATGCCGGTGCAGCCCACGGGGCCTGCACACCCTCTGAGCATGATGCCGGTGCAGCCCACTGGGAAACGTGCAGGGCCAAGGGTCTGGCTTCCCTGGGGAGGCGGGTCATACCTACTGGGTGCCCAGTACCCCAAGCCCCACGTCACTGTCAGCATCAGGGAGACACGGGGCAGCAAACATGCTGGCTCGTCCATGGGGTCACAGAGTACACAGAGCAGGGGGAGCCCTACTTCCACCCACTCAGCGTACTGAGTGGGGTCCCAGTACAGATTCGTTTGATCAGAGGGTGGCCCCTCTGAGAAATGTTTGGGGCTTGCCTATCTGGTCCCACCCAGGGTGACAGCTGAGGTGTAGAGGAACGAAGGGCATTGTGAGAGGCTTGGATGCCACGCCAGCCTTCTGCTCTGTCCTGTCCACCTCAGGAAAGCTGAAGTTGTTCTCGGACACAGAGCAAATCTCTCCATACATCTTAAAACTCTTCGAGGACCTGGCGTTGGGGGATTCTCGGTGACAAGGCCCCTCAGCTCCTGGGGGCAGCCCTGCCTGCTCCTTCACAGCCTGGGTGCCTCGTTTCCGGCAGTGGAGGAAATGGGGGGGGGCATGCGGGGTGGGGCAGCCAGCCTGGGCCCCAGGGCAGATGTTTTTCGAGTAATACCTTCCTCCAGAAAGCCTGGGACATTTGGAGGGAGATGAGTTGGTGAGCGTTCTTCTCCTTCTCTTTTTAGCAAGAGAAAATAACCATATTTAATACACACATATGTGCGTGAGCCCCACATACATGAGAGCCAGAGGCCCCACACTCAGGGACGATTCAGATACAGAAAGGAAGCATGGGTACATATGGGGGACATTCGGAGCTAGGGACAAGGCGAGGTGCCTTGGACGCTTCAGAAGGTCACTGCCAGATGACAAGAGCAGACCTTTACTAAACAGAGGTTTGCCCTGCCCTGGTGGCAGGTCAGAAGAGGTTGTCTCCGACCATCTCTTCTGGCCAAGGCCTGTAATAATTGCTGAGCTTTCTCGACAGTGTTTGGATCCATCCTCTGTCCTGCCCTCACCCCTGCACCTTCCCCAAGGAAAGTGCTAGAATGATGGCTGACTTTGCAAGCCAAAGCCTGAGCTCTGGTGGTCCTGAGGCCAAGCTAGAAGCCTCTGGAGAGTAGAGGAAGGACGGGAGGCAGCCAGCAAATAGCAGGACCCAAGAAAGGCCCCAGAGTGGGGTGTACAGGCACCTGGGTTTGAGGGAGCCAGGCAGCCGCCACCAGCAGCTGCTGAATTGCTCGTGGCGTGTCTGACACTGTGTCAAGGGCGACGGTATTTGCATCATCTCGTTTAGCATCACCCTGAAAGTTGTGAGGTGGGTATGACCGTTAGCCTGCTCATTTACCCAACATGCAATCATTATGCACCCGCTGTATGCCAGGCACAGGGCTAGGTGATGGGGACCCAGTGGTGAGCAAAAGAACCCTCCCTGCCCCTCTTATACTGCTCTGCTCATGTCATACATGGTGGGTGGGAGGGAGTGGGTCAGGCTCTCAGCCAGGCTAGGGGTCAGGAAGGGCCCAGAGAAGCTGGTAGGAGGGGCAGCAGGAGAGGCTGGAGGTTGGGACTGTGCCCCTGGCCAGGGAAGCCCCGAAGGTCACCCATGCCTGCTTGCCTGGGGGCGGCCCAGCTGGGCTGGGATTCTCTAGAGCTGCCCATCCAGGACGTCTGGAGACATCTGGAGCCTGGCTCCCTGGAGACGCCTGGGGAACAGTGAGAACGTGGGGGCCTGGTGCCCTCCCCACGCCTCTCCACCGCAGGAGGCGCTGACCACATCTCCCGCGGGATGGGGTTCCCTGACCCTCCTCCTGCAGGGATGGGGTTCCCTGACCCTGCTCCTGCAGAGATGGGATCCTGACCTTGACCTCAGGTTGCCAGTTCATCGTGGTGCCAGAGGAGACCGCTTCTCCTAAGTAAACGCCTAAAGGCAGCCACAGAGAACGCACATGGATTTGTTAGATCCTCCCAGGGTGCCAGAAACTGGCCTCTGGGAACTCAGGGACCTCTAGGTGGCCACAGAGGTTCCCACAGGCTCAGCCCTGCCCTGTAAAGCTCTAAGTCATTAGTGCCTGGCCCCAGGGGCTGAGCTGTCAGTGCAAAGAAGAAGACAGTTTAGCTGAGTGGGTGGAAGGAGAGTAGAAACCGAGACTGGAGGGTCCACCTCCGCTGTGCCCCTCAACCCTCCAATCCGGGACGAGGCAGACTGGTCAGAGCAGTGGGGGCTGGGGAGCTGGCGTTTCCTGAGCCCTGAGCCCTGATCCTGTGCTGAGAGCTTGGCGTGTGTTCAGTCTTCACAACAACCTGGCCCCTAGACAATGACAGAAGAGGATGGAGACCCAGAGAGGTTCCCCAGCTGCCTGAGATCACTACCCTGGCGGGAGGTGGCGCTGGCAGGGGACCCAGGTGGTCTGACTCAGAGCCACCGCTGCTGTTTCTGCTTCTGGCCCAGGACTTTGTAGAAGCTGGGGCTTCCCAGGCCTTTGCACAAAGTCGTCAGGCGCCAAACCAGCTTTGCACTTCAGGGAGGGATGTGGGCCGGGAGCACGTCCTCAGAATGACACTGTTCAAGTAGATGGCTCAGCTCATGGGTTCCCGGGGATGGCTCTGAGTTCTCTGGCTTTGGGCAGCTCCTCTCCACATGGGCCACTCTCCTCACCTCCCACCCCCGCCGCCTGGGAGAAGGGCTTGGCCACTGCAGGGGCTGAGTAGACAACTTGGGTGGAGCAGGGGAGGCAGGTGAAGTGTCACCAGGCCATACTTCCTGCCAGGACTCGCTCCAAACAGGAGGACAGATGCTGTTTCCCTGCACCTGTTCCTCCGTAACCATCCAGGCCCGAGGAGAAAACTCAGAGACTCGTTAGGACCAGGGAGGTGAAGAAGTGAGCAGGAGTGACCAGCCCACAGGCCTCCCAGCCCACGCTCCCGTTTACCTCTTTGCACTGAGGCGTGGACACAGAATATATTTCACTTTCCGTATCACTCTGCTGTTAGAGAAGCAGTAGTTCAAGCACATGCGTCAGCTCGGTGTCCGAGAGGCAGCCGGGAGTGGTGGGCCCACATCAAGTCTGCGGGGCAGCTGCAGCCCCACACCTGCTCACTGTTGCCACATGGCTTGGACCTCCCGATTTTTAAGAGGAGGCAGAAAGCTAGGTTTTTCTGTGGGGCCTTTCAGTTGGAAATGATTAGATAATGAAATTAAACACAAAGCCAAACAACCAAACCAGCACAGCGCTGCATAGCCCAAAGCACTGTGTGGGCCATGCGGCGCGAGGCCGGGGCTGGCTGCAGGCTGCGGTCTCGGCTCTGGGTCCGTTCCCACTGTGTGGCAGCCTGGCGGACCAGGGCATTTCCACCAGCCTTGAGCAGGGCTTGTGGGATTGCTCAGGGCTTGTGGCTTTACCCCACAACTGCCCTCCCATTTTCTGGGTACCTTGACGATGCGCCACGAGAGATTACACCCATGTAGCAGAGCCCGGTGCCAGATGCCTCTGGCTTCTCTGCTTTGGGACATTGACAGGTGGGCTGGCCGGTCGAGGTGTGAGCTCAGGTCATGTGGTTGGTGGGTGTACAGACATGAAGCCTGGTTGTCCATCAGTGGGGACTGATGGGGACACCGGCCCACAGTGACGGCGTCATTATGGATGAAATGAGACAATCCCAGGGACTACCGAGTCCCGTGGAGGAAAAGGGACAGCATGGCCTTTCTCTCAAGGGGAGCAAAAGCCACAGCCCTTGCCATGACCAGCCTTTAGTGGGTTTCTCAGCACATTACATGATGGTCCTCATTTACTATAAACAGGTTCCCTTTAGGTGGTTACCTTTTACAGACAACAAAGGAGCCAGTGCCACTAGTCACATCACAGATATTTGCAAATGAAAAGGGAAAAGTGGTTGAACCGGTTACATTCATCCTGGGAAAGTTTGGCATGGATTTTAGGAAGTTACTTTGCAGTAAATGTTTGCCACAAATCCGGGTGAGGGATTTTTTTTAGCAAAAAGCAAGAC